ATGTTGTCTTGTCAGCACATGGCCTAGTTGATTGTTTTTCTCAGCCATGTGCTTCTTTAGCCCCTCCTCTTGGTTTCCTCATTACCACACCCTCTTGTTAGCCCCGATTGAGTCCTTGTTGGTGTAATTGCTCTCACCTGTTCCTCGTGTTTTCCTCCCTATTTATAGTGCCTGTAGCGAATTTAGCTCAACGACAGGAAATATGAATAATTAACCATAACTAGTTATAATTAACTATTCATATTTTAGAATACAACACAGCAATAATATACACAATGGCCTGAAGAAAATGGGTGTTCATTCAAAGAAGGTTTTCCTATGAATTAATTAGTAGAACAGTCCATTTCTCCTGTGCATTTGTACCCCTTGTTTCTGGAGAAAGCAGAATGAGAGCCGGCTCGCATTCCACAAGGTTGTAAATGTATCGGGTTACCATGAAACCAGGGTCTTGTTCGGCGTCCTGGGGTGTTACAAAGTATTTGTGAAATCTAGCTAACAAAATATATATTGTGTGTTGGAGTGTTCCAGACGCTACAGTGCCCCTTGCCCTATTGTCTTTGCTGGTTCGTGGTCATTCTTTCCCTCACTGTGTTTGTCTCTGTCTGTGGCTGAGTATGTGTTCCTGTCTCCCTGTCTGTTTGATCTTGTGATCTAGTCTTGCCCTAGTCTTGTCTCTTGTAATTCTATGTTCTTGTCTTGCTCCTTGTTTTTGGATTTGGTCTGTTTTTGTCTTTTTGCTTTTATTTTAGTGTTCATTTAGTTTTCTTAGTCCTGATCTCTTGTTTTCATTTTTTGGTTGATGTTTTAGTTATTTGTGTTGGTTATTTTTAATTTTTAGCTTTTTAAAAAAAAAAAAATGTATTCTCTTGCCTGTCTTGGAGTAATTTGTGTTCCTGTGGAGCTATGTTTTGTCTTGTTGTGGTGTTAGAGTTCCTGTCCTGACCTGTTCCCTTGCCTGGTGTCTGGGGTGCTTCAGAGTTTATGGTCCATAAGTTCTGAGCTCAGCTCTCTGGTGCCTTGCTCTGGTCTCTCCACTGGCCTGGTCTTGCCGCCGCCTCTGCCGCTATCGTATTCTGCCAGTTGATGTCTTGAGGCTGTCCCAGTGGCCTTCCCTAGCTATGTGTTTATTGTGTTCCTGTTGTGGTATCACCTGTGCTCCTCACTACCCTTTTGTATTAATCTGTTTTGTCAATAAACCCTTGTTACTCACACTGCAATTGGGTCCTCCTTCCAGATCCCTGACAGTGTGTATATATAATAAACAAAATCACTAACAGTAGCATACATTCAGACAAGAGTCAAATATATTTATATATTATTATATATACTTATTAATATTTTATAGTGAATTATAGTTTCATTGATTAACTATAAACAATGTAACCAAAAATACTCAAAAGTGGAAAAGTGTGAGTGGAAGACAACTTTTTTTTCTTAATTATTAAATGTACATGTAAGTTAATACTTTTTTTTTTACCAAAATAATATTTTTGTACATTGCCTTTTACGCTTTTGCTATTTTATGAATTATTTTATAATAAATCTGTGAAATTATCTGTATCTGTTTTTCCTTGGCAATGATAGTGGAAATGCTCAAAAGCTTTTCTGTAGCCAAGATGTTCAGAAATTGATTTTCATAAAAATAAACACACCCTGACCAATATTATGTATGACAACCAGCCCCAGTGTTCCCAATAGATAAATAAGGAAAGGTGTTTAGATGGAGACACTTTTCCATTAATTCACCCTACTGTGTCAAACACAGAACATAAATATCCCCACAGTAATAAAGGACATCAGCAGTAAAACTTCATGAAACAGAATCGCATGGACAAGTCGTTTCCCTTTTCTTCCATCTGGGTGTAAAATTTATGATGTAGAAGAACTGACCCAATTTAGACAGTGATTGCAAATCAGTCTGCAGTCAGGTGTGTGTGTGTTTGTGCCCTTGAGCGCTGATACGCGCACAGATTTTCCTCATAGCATGAGTTTCATGTATGTGTGTCAACAAGTTTTGTGTCAGAGCCAGTGAAAACTCTCTGGTGCACTCCTCGCTCTCTTGCCTCCATCTGTGGGCTGTTGTTGCCATGACAACAATAGGCCTCATGAAAACGACTCGCCACACAAGAAATAAATATCTGCTTTAAACAAGAGAGAATGAAAGAGAAATATGCAGAGAGAGGCTAGAGAGCAGAATGACCAAACAAATTGTATGTCTCATGCACGTACAATACAATGGAAGACTGTAAAGCAATGTTGTACATCTATACATACAGAAGCTAACATCAAAAAATGGGCTTCTGGGAGGAGGTCTATAACATCTGGAGAAAGCTAACCGTTAGCATATCAATTGCGTTCACTTGTCTGGCACAGGAGCCTCCAAAAGTATAGTATCTTTTAAAACAGAACTAACAACAGGTTTTGGACATGTATTTAAATACCAAGATATATTTGTTAGCATGGTATATATAAAGTATCACAAGACTGCTATCGTAATTTTTTGTTATATTAACACTACACTCAGAAGAAAAGGTTCTATATAGAACCCTTTAGGGGTTTCCATTATGGGATCAATTTATGGATTTAGTTTTTGTTTTATTTTAATTAAATTTGATGACTTTAACAGCTCATATAGATACTTTATCACTAGGAAAACTGAAATTACCATAAGAATAACACATCAAAGTATTATGTGGTTATTTAAGACACTTTTCTTAGCATTTACAATCACACAAGCAATATATAACACACAGCAAGTCACAGTCCAACAGTTAACTTAAATCCATATTTCTTTTTTATTCATACTTTTTATTCTTTTTATCTTAAATTGACAAAACAGTACATTCAGTTTTATCAAACACCATCCCCCTTACTCACT